ACTCTAGTTCATGGATCTTATAGGTCCAAATAACAAGGATATATTCTCAAAATGCATGCATACTCTAAAATAGGTCACTGTTTGCAAAAAACATGCAATATGTTGGCAGATCCTATAACTATATATGCAGATAACGATCTAAGTACAAAAAATTGATTGCTTATGAAAGTTTCCGTTCGCACATATTGCACCTGTATGTTTCTGAATACAACAGATAGCTACGTTTTGTTTTCTCTGCAGAATTTTAAAAACTAATCAGTATTCTTATCATATTCTCTACATGCCCATATAATTATTATTAGAACATCAAAGTGGCATTACTTAATTTCACAGAGTAGCAAAAAGGGTGACTACTTTACTTGCATTCGTTTGTCCATATTTCCCAGAACTATTTAAATGTGTATTTTGGGATGTTTAGCCATTTCACTTGGTTCTGATTGTCTTAAGAGAACTGAGATGCTAAAGAAGTGAACGTGCTCCCTAGAAAGTCCCTCTTTGTTTTATTTAATGATGTAAAACATCAGTGACAGTTGTTGTACAGTATAATGACCTCCCCTTAGCAGGTGGGAAATGTCAGAGCCAGTGAGAAGAGACCACCCGGGAGCGTATAATAATGTGACGCAAATAAGTGGAACACCCCTCTTAAGCAAAATTAATCAATCTTATTTTCAAGAACAAAAGACCTGGGCTGCTGCTTCAGTCTTCTGCAGGTATTCATAGGTTGGGAAAGAAAGGCAGGGAAACCGAAGGAAACAACGATGCAAACAAAGCAGATACTGAAAGCAGGGGCACAAAACGAATACGTTACCATGCTGAGAAGCTGTAAGTAGCAGGATACATTTGTTAGAACCGTACCGTTGATGAAGCGTATTGCATCTGGCTCTATGAATCCTGAGATCACTAAATCTGGACATTACAGATCTACTTTCCCTCAGAATTATTCTGTGACAGTAATCTATGGATGACCTACTGAAAGTCATGAATAGTATATAGCTCCTTAAACTGATTTGTAAACTACAGATTTACTCACAAACAGCACCACACAAACACAGGTACATCACAAACAGGCACCAATACCCACACAATGCATCCTCTATGCTTTAACAGCATAATCAGAAATACTATGATATCACTTAAATTCCTATTGCCTATACTTCAGAAACTAAACACAGTCAAGAAACTGATGTGCAAACGTGACATAGTAACTTGTGTTTTACACTTTGAAAGAGGCTTCTCAATTTTCTGGTAACACAGTCTTTTGTCACAGCATCATGGCAGAATCTGTTCAGGAATACAACTTTTCAGTCTATTAGGGCCTGATTCGGGAGCAGGAGGAGACAGCATCCCGCTGAGGATGTCTAGCAAAGGCTGCATGATCGATTTCCCAAAGCGGTAAGGAGGGAACACAAAGGACCTTATTTTTTTGTTACTCTGAGAAGTGCTGACGGCGCTGCTCAGGTTGCTTTCCTGCCAATGTCTTAAAAGCAGCACGTAACGGTTGCATCAGCGTGTATGTAACAGCATATATAGCACAAAGGAAAAAAAAGCAGACAGACAATTAAGAGGAGGAAAAGGATGAAAAAACCCTGTTCATTGAATGACCGGCATTTTCAGAAGAGCCCTGGGGTATATTTACACTGTGTTCAGAAGCTGTGACTACAGCACGTCTAGTAGCCACCTTAACCCAGCTAGGTCAGGTAAGAAAAGCCACGAAGCTCTAGGAACGAGCTCAAACTGCCATGTCTGATAAAACAGGTGAATAAATATATTCCAAGATTTTACAAGATGTATGCCATGAGACTGGACGTTTATGTTACCGCTACTGATCTTAAGCGTCAGTGCACAACGTGTGCATGCTGCCCCTGC